TCCATATCACAGCTTCTCAGCCTGCAAAGTCCAGCTCAGCTCCATGCCCCACCATCCTAGCCGGGAAACTCCAGCTCAGCCCCATGCAACAGCAGCCTGGTCTGCAAAACACAATTCAACTCTATGCAACAGCATCCTGGCCTGCAAAGCCCAGCTCAGCTGCATGAAACACTATCCTCCTGGCTTGCAAAGCCCAGCTCAGCTCCATGCAACACCATCATGGCCTACAAAGCACCATTCAGCGCCATGCAACAGCATCCCAACCTGTGAAGCACTGTTCAGCTCCATGCAACAGATTCCTGGTCTGCAAAGCACAGTTCAGTCCCATGGACCAGCATCCTGGCCTGCAAAGCACAACTCACATCCACTTGAGCCCATTTCTAATTGGAGGGCCAGCATGGGGTTGTGGTTTGAGTGTACAACTCTGGAGGCCAGGGTTTTAATCCTGTCTCGGCCATGTAAACCCACTGGGTGACCTTGGGCAAGTCACACTCTCTCAGCCTCAAAGAAAGGAGAGGGTGACACCCCCTCGGAACAAAACTTGCTAAGAAAACCCATGGTGATGAGTTTGCCTTGGGGTCCCAATATGTCAGAAATGAATTGAAGGCACACAACAACAACAACAAAATTATGATTTACAGTCCTGTATTCTGATTGACAATCCCATATTCTGATTGACAGCCCTATATTCTGATTGACAATCCCATATTCTGATTGACAGTCCCATATTGTGATTGACAGTCCTATATTCTGATTGACAGTCCCATATTGTGATTGACAGTCCCATATTCTGATTGACAGCCCTATATTCTGATTGACAGTCCTACATTTTGATTGACAATCTCATATTCTGATTGACAGTCCTATATTCTGATTGGCAGCCCTATATTCTGATTGACAATCCCATATTCTGATTGACAGTCCTATATTCTGATTGACAGCCCTATATTCTGATTGACAGTTGCTATAATACTGGCTGTTAGTCATGGGAACACCCATTTCTTTTTAATAGAGCTGTGAACATGCCGGCTAAATGGAATATAATTCAAGTTGTTTTATCAGGCGGCAAGAAGCTGAATCTTTGCCTTTAGAACCACGTCACTGCAAATTTCTATTTAGGGGAGGAAATAATAATTGTTTTTCAAAGATGTCTCTAATCCAAAAGACAAATAGCTCTCCTCAGTTTTAGTTTTGCTTTTTTTAACCAACCCTGCGTAAAGCAGGCAAGGTACTGTATTTCAGAGTTCACCGAGAAAACATAAAGCGAAAAGGTGACTAAAGTGTGTTTCTTTTTAGGGCTGTCCCGCGACATTTTGCCGCCTGAGGTGGGCACAGTCGGCGGTTCCAACATCCGTGGAGTCGCAAATCCGCTTTGGGTTTTGCTCTGAACAAGGGATGTAGCTCTGGGGGAATGAGGGCATTACTTTCCCAAGAAAACATAAAACAAATATTTTGTCCAAGACGCGAGATCACATTCCTGCCATGGAAGGTGGGTTAGACTACATGACCCTTGGGGGTCCCTTTTGCTTCCATGACTCTTCCCCAGAGAAAAGACTGAAGAAATCCCACGACAGATGGAAGACATCCCATGAAAGATATAGGTCAGGGAATGATGGGCCTCCAGCTCTTCATGGGACTACAGTTCCCATCATCTTGGACCTTCCAGATGGGCAGAGCTGTGTGGCATCGAGTGGAAAGCCCCGTGGACTTTCCTTTCAGACAGGGGTCCGGTGGCCTCTTGAAAGCATCCCAGAGAGGAGAGAAGCATCCCAAGGAGGAAGATCCATTGCCTTCTGAGATGTTCCCCTTGTTGTCACACACATCTTACCATCAGGAAGGCCAGGGATGAGGGGAATTGTAGTCCCACCGTATCTGGAGACCCATAGCCCCTCTGCCCTTGTCCCATGGGTTTTCGTTTATCTTCCCGCCATGTCATCCAATGCTTCCCAAACTTTGCTCCTCCAGGCCTTTTGGACTTCAGCCTCCAGAATTTCCGACTGTTGGCTAAGCTGACTGGGGCTTCTGGGAGTTGCAGTCCAGAACAGCTGGAGGAGCAAAGTTTGGAAACCACTGGATTAGATGGCAGGAAGGTAAACGAAAACTCATGGAACAAGGGCTGGGGGACCATGGGTCTCCAGATACCATGGGACTACAGTTCCCCTCATCCCTGGCCTTCTTGAGCATCAAGTGGAACATCTCAGAAGGTGAATGGATGCATCTTCTTTGCAGGTTTTTCGACAAGAGGTTGGAGGTGGTAATCTCCCCGGGGTGCTTTTGCGTACGCATACCTGCCCTGGTTTCTCGGTGACAGTTTTAGGGTTGGAATAGATGACCCTTGGGTCCCTTCCCTGCAGGCCTGCCTGGGCCTAGCCTAAACTCACCAAACCGCATTGCAGAAGACCCAGGTGACCTCTTTCTGTCTGACGTGGGAATACCACGCTCCATGGGACATCCTGACCCAAGCACCTCTTAGGTACACAGATTCCCTCCAGTGGCAGAACACGTTTCTCCATCTCCCCCCTTCACCCCTCGTGCGATGCACTTTCCGTGCAAGCCTGAAACCGGGGGAAACTCTGCAGGACCCAACCGCCTCCTCCTTCCAAATTCCTTCCACGGCCGTTGTCACCAAAGCCACAGACAGCCCCCATTCCTCCACATCTTCATCACCATCATCAATAGTGATCATCACCAGCATCAGTGGTGAAAATGGACTCCAGGGTTACAGGAGGCCCCTGGAGACATTCTAGCACTTGCATTTTCCCATCTGACTAAATACCCCAAAGACACCACAGTTGCAGCTATGCTGTCGAAATAATGCCGCTCGAACCTGCTTTCAGTGCTAGACAAATCAAGGGATTTGTAGTTTTGCAAGGCCCTTTGCCTTCTCTGCCCAAGAGTGCTTTGATTGTGAGTTCCTGCATGGCAGGGAGGTTGGACTGGATGGCCCTTGTGGTCTCTTCCAACTTTATGATTCTATGATTCTATGAAATCCCAGGATTCCACAGGATGGAGCCAGGGCAGTTAAAGGGGTGTCAATTGGCATTATTTCGACAGTCTGGATGCAAGTTCCTGGATCTTGGAAGCTCAGCATTTTACTAATGTTCGTAGTATGTATGTACTTTATTATATATATATATATATATATATATATATATATATATATATATATGAATTTTGGAATACTGTCATCTAATATGGTCATTGACTGCAATAAAACAATTGTTTGATTGATTGGTTGAAGCTAAGGAGAGTCCATCCTGGCTAATATGCGGATGGGAGACCACCAATGAAGACCAGGTGGACATCTGCCTTCAAGCCATCAATTTCAGAGGGTTTTATTAGGCAAAGAATCCTCATAGGCGGTTTTGCCTGTTCCTTTCTCTGAAATATAAGCCTCTAGCACCTGGGGTTTGTTGGTGGTCTCCCATCCAAGTATTATCCAGGGTGGACCCTGCTTAGCTTCCACGATCAGACGGGATCTGGTGCCTTTAGGCATGCAGACACACACACACACATTAACCACTGTGCTTTTCTTGGGTTGTTTGCATGGAAAGGAATACAAACACTCTTAAATAAATAAAATAATAAATGAGAGGCATGTAATAGAATAGAGGCCAAGATCGCCCTCTTGTGGCAAGATCACACAATTGCTTTCTGAGAAAACCAAGGCATTCGAGAAAGAGTTCAGGTATAAACTCTCTTCATCCCCTACAATCCTTGTGGGTCTGTCCCCCTCTTAGGATCCTATTCTGTGCTTCTAAGGTGATAAGTGAGTCAAAGACTTGGTCAAGGGAAGATCTAGCAGCCACTTTCTCTCTCTATAGCTGCAGCTCTATTTCTTGGAGCTCGGCAAACAGAGCCCGGCTAACAGGGGAGACCAAGAGGGGAATTTTGCATGGATGTGATGGAAGAACCAGAAGAAAATGAGCTTGGGTTGGCAGTGCTAGACCTCCCCAGCCCTGGAGAGAGTTTCTTGGGTCAAGGGTGAGGGTCAGTTGGGGTCAGTAAGGCTGAGT